GAATCATTTGAAGAAATGAAAGGAATTTATAAAGAAATTTATCAAGTTAAAGACGTAGATGAGAATGAAATAATTCCAATTATTGTAATTGGAAATAAATGTGACTTAGAAAATGAAAGACAAGTAATGAAAGAAGAAGGTATAGAATATGCAGATAGTATTAAATCACCATTTATTGAATGCAGTGCTAAAACAAGTGAAAACATTAATCAAATCTTTGAAATAATAACAAGAAATGTACTTGAATATAAAGGTTATAGCGAAGAAGAAAACTGGAAAATAGAAAAACATAAAAAAGAGAAAGGGTGTTGTTTCTTTTAAAGAAATGGTGGATAGATTTTATTTTGTGTTAAAATAGAGTTATTTTAATTGTTATTCTTATATTTTTTTTTTGACGTTTATTTTTTATTATTAGTAACTTTTTTATAGAAGTTATTCATTGTATTGTGTTTATATTATCATAAAACAATAACTTTATTAAAAGATAAACTTTACTTATTTTAAAATTTGTTAGAGCAATAACATATAAAACGATATATAAGTTATATGTACCAACCTTAAATAAATTTTCTTTTTGACTCTACTAAGAAAATTATATTTTAGTCTTTATTATACCACGTTTATAACTCAAATTTTTAAATAAATTTAGTAGAATAATAGTTTCATTAATTTATTATCAATTTAATGAGAAAATAATATATTTTAATTGCATTTATATTTAATACATTATTTGATTTTTTCAAGAATTATAATAAACAAACAACAAATTATTCTTCAATGCATAAAGTAATATGACAATTGATTCTATTTTAATAATATAATGTTATTTATTGAAGAATAATTCTTTAATTGTATAAAAAAATAGTATTTTGAAATATCCTTTTAGATTTTTATTTAAAAAAATGAATTGTCATTGTTGTATTAAGACTATTTGAATATTCACTACTTTTAATAGAATAACTGAAGCTACACATAAAAAGAAGAATATTTAAAGATTAGTAAATATGATTTTATTATAGTCTTAATATTAAATTAATTCTAAAATAAATATAAATAGTATTAAGTTCATTTGTATATAAAAACTTCTTTATATTCAATATTTGAAACATCTTTTTTTCATAAATAAAGAAAATAATAATAATAAAGAATTATTCAATGAGACGATAATACAATACATAAGCATCATCAGAACCAGTTGGCACCTCTTCTAATTTAGTTACTTTTTCATCATCAAATCTATACCAATCAGTACCAACTTTACAGTCAGCGTAATAATGTCCTTTATCTATTTTTCCTTGATGGTTCTATGATGTGAATAAGATTATTTTATAGAATAATAGAAAAGAATGAACAGAATGATAATAACAAACAACAATACCAAATAAATCATAAAGAATTGGTTCTTTAAAACTTGTATTTGAAACATATTCTTTAAGGTCAAATTTAAAAGGAGGAAATACAACACGTTCATAAGTTTTAATTTGTTCATATTTCTCTGTAAATTCAAATCTTTTTAATTGAAAAATAAGAACTTGAGGTGGACGCCAAATTGTAACATCAACTTCTGCTTTAACATTTTTCCTACAAGAATCACAAAACCAATCAATAGTTTCAAATGAGTCACCATGAGTAAATAACGTTAAACATGCAAATATACTTACTGCAGTAGTTTGTAATCTTTGATTATTTGTAATTTTATAACTTTCACAAATGATTTGTTCATCAATAATATCATTTTCTTCACAATCATAACTAACATATAACTCTTTTGTTTTTGTTATTAACTCTTCTAATTTCATATCTTCTTTTAAACTACATCCCGTACATCCAATACGTTCTCCACAAAGTTTACATTGTTTTCCTTCTTCATCAACAATACAAATTCTATTATTCTCCATTTTCATCCATTCCATTCGTTTTTCAATTTTTCTTTTTAATTCTTTAATTGTACAATTTTGTTCAATACAAATAAGAAATGGAATATTATGAAGAACAACAACATTTTCATTTTTTATAACTCTAATAAAGATAATAACTTTAATTTCTTTACTTGAATCAATTTCATACCCAACAATCTTATCATAATTAATCAAACTTAATTTCCCTTCATTTATTAATCTTTTTTTTCCTTTTCCATTTTTTTGTAATACATAAAATGCTAATTGATCTATACAAATATTAATTTCTTGATTTCCAATTGCTTTGGGTATTTGATTTTTAATTTCATTTATATCTACTGAAACACTAACAAGCACTTTACATAGAATAGGTTTTCCTTGCTTACAAACGATAATTAATGGTACAAACCCTCGTTGTCTTCCTATAGATGGTATTGTTAATGAAATACAATTAAATGGATCAAATGATTCACTTGAATATCCACATTCACAACATGTAATTTTTTGTTGTTGTTGTCCACTAAATGTATGAGTAATAATTGAATCGTTTTCTTGAAGATATTTATTCCAAATACAATCAGCAAATTCAGATGGTGTTTTTTCTAATTTGATACTTGCTGGTGTTCCAACCATTATTTCAGTTGTGTTATTTCTCAATAAATCCATATTTAATTCTTCTAGTAATACTAATGTAAATTCTTGTGCATCTTGTTGGTTATGTCCTCTAAACTGTTCGTATTTGTCACTAATTAAATCTTTTAATGCTTTGGGGGTTACAACAACATAGTCATTTGACCATAATGCTTTTATAACTGAAAAAAATGCTAAAGCAATCTTTGTCTATTAGTTTATTTATTATCATTTAAATAAATTTAAAACAAACGTTATTGTTATATAAGGTTTTATCTCCTGGTTTTAAACTCTTTACAAACGGAGTTGGAAATTGATATGCAAATGACTGTATAATATCACAATGAGCTAAACATTGTAATGGACTATTCAAATAACAAGTATTTCCTAAATTATATAACCCACATGTTCCTCCTTCTATCGGATGTGGTGACCTTGAATGATCATCACAGGAACTTAAGATCCGTTTAATATATCTTGTCATTCTTTTTCTAATAATCAATAAATGATGACTTTGAAGTTTTTATATTTATTTTTTTGGTTGTTTTGCTCTCTCATTAAAAATTTTTGTTATTAATACCATCAATATTTCTTTTTTTTTTTAATAGAAATTTTTAATAAAAAAATTAATAATAT